AGGCAAGAGCTCTACCACTGAGCCACAGCCCGCCCCCTCCCCCTCATGTCCTTCTTAACAGGAAGTTGTTCCCAGCTGCCAGAAAAGGCAGGAGAGGGAATTTTTTGTTTATCCTAAGGAGGTATTTGCCTTAGGTTTTCAGTGATAATTCCTAGCTTAGTAAGTCTGTATTTTCTGCCTATATAAAACTCCTAAATGCAAATTGTGTTTATTCTAAGGCCTTTCTTGTTGGCATCATCTCATTTGTTGTACAGTGGCTTTCTGAAAAGTGCAGAGACATTGTTGAGACATTGCCCATCTCTCTCATGCCCTTGCATTGTGAATAGCATTACCCTGGCTTTTTATTCTGTCCCACAGTTTAAGCTCAGCTCTGATAGCTAAAACATTTTTCTACTAGCTAAGAAAACAGTTTTATACTAGCTAAGAATCTGCTAAAGATTTTAGCAGTTTATCCAGGTACAGTGGTACATGCTTGTAATCCTAGAGACTTGGGAGGCTGATCCAGGAGAATCACAAGTTTGAGGTCAGCCTCAACAACTTAAAATTTGTCTCAAAAATAAAGTAAGAAGGGTCTGGGGATGTGGCTCAAGCGGTAGCACGCTCACCTGGCATGCGTGCGGCCCGGGTTCGATCCTCAGCACCACATACCAACAAAGATGTTGTGTCCGCCGAGAACTAAAAAATAAATATTAAAAAAATAAAAAAAATTAAAAAATAAAGTAAGAAAAAGGAAAGGCATGTAGCTAGGTGGTAAACCATCCTGAGTTCAAGCCCTAGTACCAAAAAAAAAAAAAAAGATTTTAGTAGTCCAAGCACCTATCAGCTATGGATGGTATAATAATAATAGAAATGACCAGAAATTCAAACCCCAGTCCATAACCAACCTTAAAGCAATAAGTACCCCTCACACTTACATTTGTGCTCTCTTCATACCAATTCCCACTGAAAGGAACACAACTTCCTCAAGAAATGGCTGATGCCAAGTCTGAGACAGGAAATGTACAAGCCTGGAACTTTCCAGAAAAGTGAGGAAAATATCAAAAACTTCTGGGTTCATTTAAAAGGACTCGGGAGCCAACTTGAGTAGCTCCCACTGACAAAGATTGGTCGAGTTGAATATTAGRAAAATAATGCCAGTGCATTGAAACAAAATACTTTTAAATCTGTGAGTTTATAATGATGCTTGAGAAGGAAAGAGAAATCCAGTTTCTAATTCCTTGATCTGGTATATTAGGTACTGGCAATTAGGATCTGGTATGTTAGRTACTAGTAGTAATTCCCCGGAGGCATGGAGAAATAGGTAGCATCCGGAGGGACAGTGTCTTCCATGCCAAATCTATGTTCTGCCTATCTCCCATAAACAGCTGCCAAGAGACCTTTTCCTGCTCCGTCTATGTTTGCGTCATGTGTATGATCTTTAACAAGGGAGAGCTACAGTGTTCTCTCCCCCCTCACTCTGGTAGAAGGTTTTAGTTATGGTATGGCATTTAATTCTCATAAGATTATCTCTAAATTAATTATACAAGTAATGAATGTTTGTTGGTAAAAATACAGAAGAATATAAAATATACCCTGTCCTCCCCATCCTTATTTTTAGATGAGAAGATGAAGAGGTTTCAATTTTTTTTTTTTTTTTAATAACTGGGGATTAAACCCAGGGGTGCTTAACCACTGAGCCACATTCCCCAGCCATTTTTATTTTTTTAAATTTTGAGACCATCTTGCTGAGGTGCGTAGGGTCTTGCTAAGTCGCTGAGGCTGGCTTTGAACTTAGAATCCTCTTGCCTCCGACTCCAAAGTCATTGGGATTACCCCAGCTCAATTATTATTTTAAGGTCACTGCTAGTTAACCATGGATCAGAAACTTGAACCAAGATATTAATTCTGAGATGCCCCATTTTCTGGTGGCTAGAATAAGCTTTCTTACTTTGTCTTATAGATAATCATGATGTCATTTCTCTGAAGTTGTTTGAGCTGACAGTGGAAAGGACCCCAGAAGAGGAGAAGCTGCATCGAGACGTGTTCTTGCCCTCGGTAGACAATATGAAGTTGCCTGACAGTGAGTGCGGAGACCTGGGGAGTGGTCCCATGGGGGCGGAGGCTGCCTGAGGCCAAGGTGCCTTGCACCCCCAGCATGCAGGGCGGTGTCCTTTCTCTGTAATTGGTCTGAAGAATTCAGAGCACTTACCCTGCCTTTCCATGTACCAATGAACAGCAGGCGTAGTGCTTCATTTTAATGTTGAGCCATCGGGAAGGGAGGAGTGTGAGCTYTAGCTCCTCAGAAGTGGGTATGGGAACCTGGGGGCTAGGCCACCTGTTAGTTGCCCCTCGCCACTGAGTGGGTGGCATGTTTCTGATGAGCTTCCCTCTTGCTTCTTCAGTGACGGCCCCACTGCCRCCTTTGAGTGGCCTGGCCCTCTTCCTCATCGTCTTTTTCTCTCTGGTGTTTTCTGTATTTGCCATTGTCATTGGTATCATACTCTACAACAAATGGCAAGAACAGAGTCGAAAGCGCTTCTACTGAGTCCTCCTGCTGCCACCACCTCTGTGACTGACACCCATGAGGTGAGAGCAGAGCAGATGCTGGCCTGAGCTCGCAGTCTGGCGAATCTGTTCCAGTCTCCAGCATCTGGTCAGGGACTGTGTACTGTCACTGGAGCTTTGAATGCAAGAACCCTGTATTCCCGTGGTCATCCATGGGGACATCTAACCTGGTCCAAGAAGCCACTCACCCCAGGAAAATGCTGCTGTGATGTGCCTTTCCCTGCAGTCCTTCCACTTGGGAGTGAAGAGGCATGAAAAGAATACAGCTGTCGTGATGCCACGATCACAGAACAGGATTGGACAGCCCAGGCTTGGACTGGACTCAGCAGGCCTTTCTCCTTCGTTTTTGAATCCACAGAGAATAGAAAACTGGTAGCTCACCTTCTGGACATGTGTTTATTGGGTTTTGCTTTTTGCCCAAGCTTCTATCCACCCAAGGAGCTTTCCTTGGAAACCTGGGTGGAAACTTTCCTGCTGCATCCTTCCTATGTGCCTCCCCTCCATTCGTTGTCCTCTGTATGTGCCACCTAAGCTGGAAGAGATGTTTGGATTCCTCTGTGTTGGGGCTGCAGAGCAAACTTAGCTTTCTGACCCTCATTAGGTGACCCCAGGGCTCTCTGCTTTGGCTCAATTTAGCCTTTGTTTTCTAGTGTGGGTCTTGGTTTGTGTGTGGGTGCCCATCCTAATCAGCTCCCTTGAGGCCATTGGTCAAATTTGGCAGAAAGTTAGTGTGCAAGTCAAGGGGAGCTTTGAAGACTTCATGGACACCTTGAGATGGACTGTGAACCTGACTGGGTCCAGGAGAGACAGCAGCATTTATCATGTGGTCTGACCACTTGGAGATGTTTGTACAGACTTTCTGAACCTGTTTAGCTGCATGTTTTGTGTTTATCATGATGTTTAGAATTCCATTTTGAGTGTCAGAAGTGTCAGGAAGCTATCTTATTACCTGGACTTAGATCTTCTCCCTAAAGGGAATTTGACTTTCCTTAATGGAGAAGAAATAGCTGCTGTTCTCATGTTGCAAATCTGAGAGCAAAAGATCCTCCTCATCTGTGCCTGCAAGAGTCCCTGATCATTGAGCAGCTCAGCCCGGGTGCTGTCCTCTGGGTGTCAGCTCTGTTCCACTGCCTTACCTGACAAGGGGTCCCAGGCTGCTCACCTGTCTGCCCTGTGATTCAGTTGGTGGTGACAGGCCAGTCTCCTTGGAAGGCCTGGAACTCCTCTCCTATGTACCTCTGAAGCCCGAGGGGAGTTCTTAAAAGTGGCTCCTAGAACCAATCATGAGCTTCTTGGTGTCCTTGCTTCTGGGGATGGATTAAGGGGGAGGTCCAGGCTGTTTCCTGAGCCTCAGGCCCAACGACTCTTGTCCTGGGGTGGCAAAGCCCTCGGCTCAGCCCAGAAGGAAAGGGGGTCATCTTGCTGCACTTGGGTCCTTCCCGTTGCTCCCTCAGGCAGCACAGGCTGTGTTGCCCTGTGGCGGCAGGATGCAGGTGGAGTGGAGGCCACACCGTCCTCCTGACTTCCTCCTCACAAGAACGGGGTTGCTCCAGGGCAGTGGAGGACAGATGGGGACCTAGAACTTGGCCTTAGGACCAGGGAGAACTGGGGAAAAAAATGTTTTGTCTGTTGGAGGTCAGGGGAGGGCAGGAGGGTCTGTGGGTAGAGAAACTAGGTGGGCCCTTGAGATGGCCAAGGTGGGTGCAGTGGAAGGGGTTCAGCGTAGGGGAGGGGTGAGGAAGCATACCCCATGGGGGGAGTACCTTGAGGCTTTCTGAAGAAGGTAGGGAAGCCAGGAGTGCAGTCCCCACCGGCCTCGGGCTTTAGAGGAAATGGGCCAGAACCTCACACTGCCTGCTCTTGTGTGTCCTGCTGGGGCTCTTGCGTTTTGTTCTAGAAACAAATGTTCTCCCTGGTGAGTGGGGGTGAATGTTGTTCTGGGCACTGTCACCCCAGGTGTGTGCTGTAGGAGGGTGGCGTCTGCTCTGGGGTAACTCTTGGACATTCACACTTGGGGTGACAGCAGTGGACTTGGCGTGCTGTTGATCCAGGACAGTTTCTTCTGTCTCCTAGTCATCCTTCCCTTCATTTCCTCTGATGACAAAGCCTCAGTGCAAAAGAGACCCTGAGGACTAGAGGGCACGTGTAGAGGTTGCATCAGCGTGAGTCTTGTCTGAAGAGCTGACGATTTCAGCCTTTCGTGTTGTCTTCAACTACCCCCTGCCCAAATTACAAGGTGGCTCTCTGTTATAAAACTTGTTTATTTCAGTGGAAAATTACAACTCTGCTCCTCTTGTTAAGTGGTTTCTGAGCACAGTAGCCAGAATATACCTAGCCCTTGTGTGTGTCCTAGAAGACAGAAACAAGGACCTGGTAGGAAGCCCCAGGGAAAGGCTCGTGGCAGCGAGGAGAAAAGCCAGGCCTGTGRGGGCGCTGGAAGTTCTGGAAGGATAATACTCGGGTGATTCTTGGGTCCAGGGTGGGGTTTCAGCTCATTATCTGTTGAAGGCTGTAGAAAGGGATCCTAGGCAGCAGAGCTGGGAGGCTTGTTTTGGTCTTGTGGATTCATGACATTAACTACTTTAATGGGGGGAGGTGCCATCCGAAATTCAGGTTTGATCAAGTTCATGGCCAGATAGCTCTAGAGAGAAGAGACAGTGGAGTTAGCCTGAAGTGGCAACCCAAGGGCATCTTCTGCAGAGTCTTCCCAAGAGCAACTAGTGCCTTTGTCCCTGTCCCTGTGGTAGCCACTCACCGGAGCTGCATAGATGAATTTGAACAGCATGAATACTGCTATTGATAGGAACACAAGGCCTACAATTCTGAATCGGTAGCGTTTCCAGCAAGCGAGGCAGAAGTTTTTAATAGGTGATTTCATCCACATTAAAGGACCACCAGCACGTCTGTCCAGGATAGGGAGAAGCCCAAGAACAGAGGGCAAGGATGCAGAGCCAAGAGGGGGTGTCCCCCAYGCCCAAATCCATTCTCCTGATTTTAACTGAGCTGTGGTAAGGAAGAAGCCACCCCTCCCCAGGTGGAGGCTCCTGTTCACTACCTCCTAGAACCAAGAAAACAGACCAGGTGCCTATGCCCCAGGGCCCTTACGGGGGAGGGTGGAGTGTGGGGTACTGGTTGGGCTCCGACTGGCCTCGGCCGGCTGGCCTGATGAGGGCTTCCTTCTCTGTCAGGATCTCCAGAGTCATCTTCACCTTGCCCTGGAACACCACAGGGCAGGAGGCTCAAGTCATCTGGAGCAAGTAGCTTTAGGACCACATCCCAGCATCCAGAGAGGAAAAGGGATTTAGCTAAGGTTCCCCAGAGTCTGTTAGAGCCGAGTCACGGGGCAGAGCAGTCCTATTTAATTGACACCTTCCCCCACTCCTACCGACATGCGCCACTTGTCCTCGTTGTAGACCTGGCAAGGCCACCATCCTGTTACAACCTTCTTCTTAAAGAGGGAGAAGTGCTTGTATTGGGGGCTGGTATTGTCCATCATCTTGAGTGTACAATAGTGGGCGTGCTGAGCTGGGAAGGGCATGTCAGACAAATCCAGCTCCAGGACCCCTGAGACCAGAGAAATGCCATCAGCAAGGAGGAGCTCCCTGACCTGTGGTCACATACCCTATGCCAGGACCTTACCTAGGAAGTCATCAGCAGAGAAGATGTCATTGTCCCAGACCTGAATGATTAGCCGGGCTGGGTACTTCATCAATGTGGGGTCCAGGCTCCATATGTAATCCTAGAAAATGGCAGAAGAGTATGTCCCCCAGCCTGCCTCCTTGGCATTTCCCTGAGAAACTTACTAGCCCACACCCTGCAGTGATGGACTATCAAGGAAGAGCCTCCATCTGAGGATGTACCCCTGTCATAACAGTCTCTGGGGAGGGGAYGAGGAGCTCCTGGACCCTGGGGCTGCCCCCCTTCTCCCACTCCCAGGCCTGTTACCTTCTGGCTCTGGATGCACACACCCTCAGCTGCCAGGTAGTCCATGGGAAAGATGAACCTCCAGTTGAAGTTGCCCTCCCCAGTCAAGGAGTGGTAATGGATGTCTGTCTTCTGCATGTCCTTCTCTAGCCCGAATAGCCACCTGGGGTCAGAGCCCTTTCACTTTGGGTTCATATGTACRGTTCCCCATTCCCTCCAGGTGAGGTAGTGGAGAAGTGTCCCCCTCAAGATTAGGAAGCCCAGGCAGCTTCAGTACTGGAGACTGTGGGGCTCTGCTGGAAGCCTCTTTCTTCCCCTCACCCTTTGACGTAGATGTCACTCATCCTTTCTCTACTGAAGGTCTCATGCACCAGGTCCACTTGGGCAGTTTTCCAGATAATGCAGCGCAGCTCATACCTGCAGCCACCGTGCTCTGAAGCTTTGCTAAGAAATAGCTCCCCAGCCCCAGCCCTGGAGGAAGGAAAGGCCTGGAGACCGCCCTCCATGTTCTGGCTGAATTGGAGGAACTGAGGTAGAAAGCTCCAGTAGAGCTTCCTCTGTTCCCAACAGAGAAGAGCGCCTCCCACTCAGCGTTGGAGGACAGTGGTGCCCTGCACCCTTGGGACCCTCGGGGCTAAACCRCAGTGCAGTAGGGACGGGGCTGTCACTCACCGTTTAGGCTTCCTGGGACTGATGTCGACTTGAGGCCCAGGAGCCCCCAGCTTCTTGGGGAAGATGTCCACCCATAATTGCAACTTTCCCTAGAGCCAGGGTGGATTCTCTGGTTTGGGACTGCTGGCCTCTGTTCTCAGGTCTGATGAGGCACTGTTCCCACCACAGGGGGTTGGGGCATAGAAGTTCCTATGGGGTGGCAGGTGGCCATCCTCCAGTTTTTATTTTTTTCCTTTGTTTTGGCTGGGGAAGTCTGCAGTGTGGTGGGGTATGGTGTCTCTGAGACTGATGACGTGGCCCAGGATTCCACTTAGGACAGATCCTGAGGTTTAAAACCACTCAACAGAGCRTGCTGGGTGACCTGAGGACAGGCTCTATAAGGGAGTTGAGCCTTCACTTTTTTAAGCAGCACAGTTAAGAGTAAGCTGGGTGCTCGATCCAGTCATTTTGTTTCAAGACCACAGCCCAGACATTAATGCCCAGAGCCCACAAATGCCCACAAAGCCCAGAGGTTTCAGGAAAATGGTAAGGGATGAAAATGGTAAGAAAGAGAGAAGTCAAAGGGCAGCAAGCCAGCCTTGGAAAWGGAGTAATTATGATCTGTCCTCCAMACCACCTGACCTGATTTTGTTCTTTGGAAGTTGACCCAGTTGACAAAACAGGTTTAATGAGAATGGTTATAAAAAACRATCAGCAAGGACTTTATGTAGAATGTAGCCTCAGTTTGAGAGATTTGGAGAATTAGCTGAGCCATTTTGGTAGCTGGAAGGTAAGGATAATTAAGATGCCCTTGGGGATCTGTGTCCCTCTGTTTGGGGTTCCTTGCCATGGAGTAAGCAGCCTACAATTAATCAGAATCAGGGTTGTAATGTCTACACTGATGTGAGGTGTCTCCTCCCCCCCCTCTGGAGAGACTAGGCCACGGGGGCATTGGCTGGTAGGGCTCCCTAGCACTTTTCACTGCTGTGTGGCCTCCATTTCTTGTAGATAACTTTCCAGCTCTGAAATTCTGTAAGTGTCATCACTCAAACTTCTCCACTATGATGTGCAAAACATGCTTGTCTCCTGTGCATGTACATATCCAAATGTCATGTTCTTCTCCTCGGTGGGCTCTGTCCTGGGTGGGTGGGCACCCCTATCTCCTGGTCCAACTCGCCCTCAGGAAGTGGGAGTGGCCCCTCCAGGCTCATACCTGGTCGATGCTTGGCTGGCTCTTGCTGTAGAGCGTGCGAGTCTCCACGTGCTCAGGTACCAGGCCCAGGGTATTCAGGATGTGCAGTGCAAGGCGTTCCTTGTTGGGTCCCAAACCAGGAACAGTAGGGGGTTCTGGCTCTGGAGTGGAGGGAGGGGATCATGGGGTCATTCATCCTCCTATCTCCTAGGCACCCTCATACCAGCCTGGTGGGTGCCAGGATTGCATGTGGAGAGGGTGGGCTGCCCTCCGTGATGGCTCCTTGTCCTCCCCTGTCTCCCCTCCATCTTCAGCCCTTGAATTCTGGAGCCTCTCTGCTTTGAGGGGCCTGTGTCTGTGCTTTCTGGTGGTGTGCTGAGCTTCTCACCAAAGGTTTTCAGGTTGATTTCTTCCCCATTGTACAAAACAGAGTCTTCCTCTGGGTTGAACACAGGCGGAGGCTGCCCTTTCCCCTTGGTGTAGCGCTCTAGGAGGTAGCTTGGGCGGATCTGGTCTCGCCAAATAAAGGGCCCTGACCTGAGTGGTTATGTGAGCAATGAGTGGGGAGGTGGTCCTGGGTCCTCCCTCTTCCCCAGCCTGCTGCTTTGAGCTGCAGGAAGCCCAGGGATAGAAATATGGATGGAGACAGGGCAGGTCTAGCCCTGGTTCCCAGCCCCTCTCTAGGTCTCAGTCCCCTGTCCCCATTCCCTGGACAGGCCCATTCTCACACAAAGTAGGATTTGGCAAGCCCACAACAAGCTCCAAAACCAGACAGGAGTCGGTTTTCTAAGTCGATGATCGTAGTTCCGATCTCATCATCAGCTGAGAACATGTCAAAGTCAAACAGCTGAATGTGCAGGTCCTTCTCCAGAGGGATGTTACAGGTCAGCTCAAACACCCTGGAGGCGGGGACATCAGAGACTGCAGAGGCTGTGGTCCGTGCACTCAATATACCCCAAGGGCCCCTTCTCCATCCCTTTACTCATTCATGGTTCACCTTGAYGGAGAGCAGAGCCGGGGATAGTCTGCTAATAGCCATACCCTGGACATAGCTGGAAATAAATTCTGTGAGGCCCGAGCTCCCTTCCCAGGCAGAGTGTGAGAGAGGGCAAAGCCGTCTGGCCAGCATCTACCTTCTCTACCTGTTAAGCACCTAAAGCGTGTAAGGCCCTCAGAGGGAACTTGGTGGCTGGGAAGGAAGGCAAGAGTGTCTGCTAGCATCGAGCCCAGCATGGCACAGAGCGGGTGGAGAGGAGGGGTTGGTGGATGGGGCAGCTCACGTGCCAAAGATGGGATCCACAGTGTTGGGCTGATACAAGTCCCGGTTGCCAAGCTTTGTCTTCCCCAGTTTCAGGATCACATAAGGGTCACACTGGGGGTCAGATATAAGCAGGGGAAGGATAGCAAATGGGGAGTCAGTTCAGGTTGGTTAGAGAGAGTGGGTGTGGGGCAGCAATGAGCCCCCAGTAGAAGCTGGCAGACAGTATCAGCAGCCCAAGGAACTCCAGAGCTCTAGGGGCTGGGGCCTGGCAGCCCCACGGAACCACGGTCATTGACTTAGAAAACTGACTCTTGTCTGGTTTTGGAGCTGGTTTGGCAGTAACAGGAGGGCTGTGCTGGGTGGGGGCTGTGCCTTACCAGTCCATTGAAGTCCTGGGGCTGTAGGTTAATGGCGCGCACCACGTACACCCGCACCAAACACTGCTGCGGGAAGTCGTCTCTYTCAGGCAAAACCGGGAACTGACGGGGAGGCTCTGGGGCTTCTGGGTTCTCAGGAAAGGGGTAGATGCGGAAAAGGCCCTGGGGGAAGGGAAGGTATTGGGGGCCTAGCCTGGCAGTGCTGACCCAGTCCCCCAAGGAGTGATTTCAGTCCAAGTTTAGCAGAGAGAGGGCTGAGCTGGGGGTGGCAGGGACGGAGGCTGTGGGAACACAGAGGCAGGGGTAGCTAAGGTCTTCAGCAGGGGCCACTGTGTTTGGGGGGTGCTGGGCAAAGGAACCACAACCCTTAGGTGCATTCCCAGCTCCTGGTGATGTCAACATTCATTCCACACCCTCTGTCCCTTCAGCTTTGAATTGTTCTCTGAGGCTCTGTGGCCTTGGGAGAGCAGCATAGGCCAGAGCTGGGTATAAGAAGACCCTTGCTCTCCCCTTTTAGGTCAGGCCTCTCTGAGTCTCTGTGGAGGCTAATCTTGTGATCTTCCACTCCCAGGGCCCACCTGCCTCTTCCTCTYAATAAGCACACAGAGCCAGGGCTTTCCTTATTCTTCTAGGGACAGAAAGAACACAAGAAAACAGGAAAGACTAGTTGGGAAAGGAAGATGCCCACCTTGAACTCTCCTACCACAGGGCTGTCTGCTTTGGGCTTCTCCTGGTAGAGCTGGAAGGTCTGGCAGAAGTCCTGCAGGCCTTGGAAGTCTGGCTCGGCCTCCAGCTCACAATCAAACACCTGTGTAGTTGGCACCAGGAGATGGAAAGACCACCGGCTCCCAGGACTTTCCCAAAGGATCTGCTCAGATGACCCAGGGTGGCAGGTGGAGGTGCCCCCAGGAGTGGGGGACAATGCAGAAACTTCCCCACTGGTGGGTCCCCTGGGAAACAAGCTAGGTCTGCTGCCCTTCCCTGGGGGAGATTTTATTGCACCTCTTTCTAGGATTCTCCAAACCTTTATGGTGTGGTAGTCTTTGTATTTGTACTTCGAGGTCTTTTCATAGTCACCGGTGGCCCAGAAGAACTTGCTCCACCAGTCCACCTCATGCTCATACTCGTCCTGGCGGGGAGAGGGTTGTGTGGCCTCAGCAGGGGAGCCCCCCAGCTCCTAGAGTGACTGGGGACGATTCTTACTCCCTGCAGCTGGGCCTACTTCACCTCAGCTTTGCTGGACTTGAACCAAAACTTTTCGCAGAAGAACCACAGGAACTGAAAAGCAAGAGGGTGAGCAAGGGGAGGCCAGCGCTCGGAGCATGCTCATTGGCTCTGACTTTGGAGAGCCAAGGGGTCGAGGCTGGGACTCAGCTCCCTGGCTCCCCACCTCCCCCAGCACCCGACAGAGTTGAGACGTAGGATTGGGGCCATTCGGAGGGAGGCCTGGTTCTGAGGCGTCATCACCCAGTGCAACTGACTGGGCTCACTCCACCCCACACTGTGGCATCAGGATCTGCTAGTGATGGGCTGTCCCGGACTCCTGTGCATCTGAGTGTGACAGGGCTGCACACATTGGAATCACGTGTGGGGAAGGGGCTTGGAACCAAATCCCAACAACTCTGGTGGAGCTCCTCAGGTGCCAGGGTCTTGGGTGTCTAAACCTCAGGTGATTCTCGTGCTGTCCAGGCTGAGGACCACTGCCTTAGCATTCCACTAGGCCTGCCCACATGGGGGCACAGATGCCAGGATGATTTACTCAACTGCCTCCCCAGGGTCAGGGTTAGTCCCCTAAAGGGCAGGGGAGAAGGGAGCCTCAGGCCTCCACTTACGTCACCGCGTTGTTGCTTCTTCTCAGAGAGCGCTGTGTGGAGAGAGGGTGGTGATGGACCTCAGGAGAGGAAAGGCTGGGGAGGGACACCAGACCCCAGGAGCAGGCTCCTTCCCCACTCCCAGAGGGGCTCCTGGAAGGGGGCATACTTGGAACCTGTCGGGGTATGTAGCTCTGAACCCAAGGGTCACAGAAATAGGGCTGGAGGATGTCGACATTGGCTCGRCCCACCACCTTCTTCTGGCCGAAGTCCTGTGTGTCCACCACCTTCATCACCAGGGGCAGCGCGTAGACAGCCTCTGTAGGCATCAGCTGTGAACCAGGAGGGGTGGGAGGGTGAGGCCTCCCCCCAAGAGGAGGAATGTCCCCGCCCGCCCAGGGCCTCTTACCACTGTGAAGAAGAGGACGGACTCGGGGAAGTTGGGGTTCTTCTGGTAGTCACTGATGGGCTTTGTGCTCAGGGACTGCTCCCCAAACTCCACCACCAGCTGGGGGTAGTGCACCTTCGTCATGTTCCGAAGGCCCCAGGCCAGAATCTGCTAGAACCAAGGAGAGCAGGGCAGGGTGGAAAGTGCYTCTATAAGGGGGTCCTGGTCAGAGGGAGGGGCTGCCCTGGGAAGGACAGGGTGGCAGGGTGAGTGCAGGGCTAGGGAATGGGGCTGTGTGGGGAAACCAGTCTGCAGGCTCCCAAAGTCTCCCTGTCCTGTGAGGGACTGGGCTTGTTCTCAAGGCCTGGTCACTGTCCTCCTATCCACAAGGTGGTTGCCCCCAGCCACTGACTGTCTTCCACTGACCTCCAGGGCCCTGGACGTTGCCCTCCCACATTTCTAGTCAGTTCTCCAGCGGGAGTTCTCCAGGCCCACTACCTCTAGGGCTCACAGAAACAGGTGCCCAATGTCTCAGGATCCCCTCATGCCACCTAGCTCACCGCTGACCTGTGTCCCAGAGGACTCCATGGCWCCCTGTGATTCTCACTCAGCTGACTGGGCCCCCAAGAAATCTTCATACCMTTCTGGGTCAGAGCCTCCTTGGGTCCAGGGCAGGGACCAAACAGGTTGCCTGATCTTGGAGAAGCCTCCAGTCCCTGGGGAAACTGGCCACCCTTTGCTCTTTGCCAAATTTATGGCAGGGCAAACAAGTTACAATGTGGGGACCGTCATGCTACTGCAAAGAGACATCCTGGCATTTGGAGATGGGTAGGGCTGGGCTTAAACTGTGGCTCTGTCACTTAGTTCCTATCACTGYGCATGGACTGTGTTCCCTCAGAATCTTGATTTCCTCTTCTGGAGGCTCAGATGGGAACGTTACTGCCCTGGTCTACCACCCACCAGAGACCTGCAGTAAAACCATCTAATGTTGTATCACAGCTTTTGCTCATTTCTGTCTCCCTCCATCCCCTAGGGAGTGTCATCTGGGGTCCAAGTTTTGAAATGGGTGGTCAGGAGGGTCGAGCGGAGAGCTCCAGGGTGCTGCACCTGCTCAGAGTGGTGCCCGTCCCCTCCCTGTCCCTTCCACACACACCTCAATGGCCATCTTCCTTAGTGTGGGCTGGATGCTCCTGGGCAGTGTGTAGATCCCATTCTTCCAGGGAACATTTAAGATTGGTTGATGCTTCTCTTTCAGGTTCTGGAGAGCAGATGCCGGAGGACAGAGAGGTGAGGCTGGTCCTGCTGTCCCTACACCTGGCCTGGGCAACTCAACTGAGAAGCCCAAACCCTACTGAGTCAGAACTGGGGGACGGGCTGACGTCACCTGGCCAGTTCTGTTTCCCAGGTCCCAGCCTTTGGTGAGGGGTAGAGGTGGGCTCCACTGGCTGTGGAAATTTGTGACTGGGGGGGACTGGGGCGGGACAGCCAGCCTTTGTTTCCCAGTACCTCGGTTTCCAGGATCATCTCACAGGATGCCAAGATCTGGCCCTCTTCTCCCCCCAACTCTTTTACCAAGGGGTGCCACCTCAGGGGTGGCAGGATCCAGTTTTGAAGGTCCAGGGAGACCACGGGGGGCCACATGCTTCGTCCCCACAAGACTTCCTTTCCCTGGAGGGGAGGGAAAGTCCACTAAGTGTGGAGGCCAGACCCAGCTTCTGAACTGGGCTTCCGGTGAGGATGGAGAACCACTAACGTGCTCACGCGGTGCTCACCACACCCAGCCTCCCTGGAGCTTCCTGAAACCTTTCCTCTAAAATAACCCCCTCGACGAGCCTCTCGGTCCTCTCCTCCRCCTGGCCCTGGCCCGTACCAAGGAGTCGCGTTGCCACAGTTCCATCACCACAAGTGGGGGGCCCTCTTTGGTGTCCTGGGGGTCCTCGTACAGTAGGAGGTGCTGGAAGATGAGGGTCTGGGCCCAGGTCGGGACTGCGGAGCTCACCAGGGCCTGGGTGCACTGGCTGTGGTGCAGGAAGACCACCCGGATGAAGGCCCCTGAGGGGTGAGGCAGGGCGGGAGTTGTCAGTCTCTCCTCTGCTGGACCAGGCCAGGTGGCCACTGCCACTGCCAGCTGCCCAGAAGAGTGCCCTAGTGTACRTGGCAGAGTGACAAGGCCAACACCCAGAGGCCAGAGAGATGTGGGTCCCCCCACGTGTACTTCACGCCCACCATGGGGAAGCCGGGGCTACCCAGAGATGAGGGCAGAGGCCCCTCTGGAGCGGTGCTGGGGGGGGGGCACCACACACCCGCCCTGCACAGCAGCTGTGAGTGGCCCTGGGACGTGGGCGGTGAGGCCCACGGTCCTCCCTGGAGCCCTGCTATCTGCTGCCCTGAGGCTCGTGGGCAGTGCCACTGATAGGCCAGACGGGAGCACTCAGCTCCCCCTCAGGAGTCTCCCTCACTGGACTGAGGATGGCTCTTCCCATGGAGGGCCACCTCCCCACCCCGCCTCTTCTGTCCAACCACAAGTGACCTGAGGTTCCCAAGTTCCTCTCTCCCCTTCACATCTGGTGGCCCTCTGCCAGGCAAACCCCTCTTTTTCCCAGGCCCAGCCAAGCCGTCACCATGGGGGTGAAGCCCCCTCAACCCGCCTGCCAGTCCCACAGCACTGGGGTCACAGCTCCACCACAGCCCCCCTTGGAGTCTCGTCTTTGGCTCTTTCCCCCAAAACCAGGGCAAAGAGGTTCTCGGGAGAGGAGTCTGCATTTTTGTCATGTTCTTCTTGGTCGCGTTCTTTATGCTGTTGGGTGGCCACGTTGCCACCCCCTCCCAGGCTGGGGACAAAGGCTGAATGACGAGGGACTTTCCTACCCTGGAATGTCAGGATCTGGTTGGGCACTGAATTCCGGACCTGGTAGATGTAGCAGAAGAGTTGGTAATAGTGGGGTTCTGGGTAAAGAAGAGCACTTCTGTCACTGTCTGGGGTGCCCACGGTTGCCCTCTGCCTTCCCCACCCCTGCCCCCAGGCGCTGGCCTCTGGGCCGCTCAAGCAGACTCCTGGTCCCATGCTCACTGTTGGGGACACAGTAGATGAAGGGCAGGTCGGGTTGCCGTGCGTCCCCTGGCTTGGGCTTCCAGGTCTCCTTCAGCTGTGCCCAGGGCCACCCCTTGTTTTCCTCTTCCTTCTTTGGGCGATCTTGCAGGTCCAGTATCTGTGCCCAGGATGGCCACCCCTGAGGCTCTGAGGTGCTTCCCTGTCTTCTCCCCTGACAGGTGCCACCCTCCCAAGCCTGGGCCAGGTGGGACCCTGCTCCCGGAGGCGTCACCCTGTCCCTGAAGGCTTTACCAGCGATCCCTCCAGGAGGAATATGGGGGCAATGTCTTTGTCGTCGTTGTCGGGGGCCAGCCTGCGGTGCCAGCAGCGGCGGCGGAAGCGGCTCTGGGGGTGTGGGCTCAGGTGGAACTTGGAGCCAAAGGTACCGTACTCCCAGCCCTCTTTCTCCTGGGCCTGGTCCTGTTTCCAGGAGGAGAGGCAGGTCCTGCTTGCTCCCACCACTGCCCAAGGTGGCCCCTGCCTGCAGTCCCACCAGGGTCCTGCCCAGTGGTCTCTCACCAGTTGCAGGAAGGAGAGGGTCTCTTCCTCAAGGTCCAGTTCCCCATGGTCCCGGAAGCGCACACGCAGCCAGTGTCGCCGCCGGTGTGAGTGGTAGGTCTTCTCCACGGAGCTCCAGACCTGGGGCAGGCCCGAGGGCGGTATCCCCACTCCATACTCCCAGCCTGCAGGACAGCACCGTGACCTCCGTGTCCCGGGGGGCCTGCAGGCTAGGAGGCTTGGGCAGGCTAAAGAGGTGGGGTGTCCCTCACGTCCAGGGAGTGGGATCACACTGTGTCACCAGGACGCTTGGGCACAGCTGCCCATCCGACAAATGAGAAAGGAGTCTTCCAGAAGGCTGCACAGCTGGAAGCAACAGAACTTGCACCTGGAGCCCCAGCCAGAGACCTCCCGCAGCGGGTGAATTCAGGCTTCACATTMAGGCCACACCTTGTTCTGGGCCACCCTTAGGAGACACTCACAACTGGCAGCATCTGAACACTAGGGTTGAGGGACCCTAGAGGTTGGGGGACCCCAGGAGTTCAGGCCCAGCCCACCCAAGRGTTTGGCCACTCTGAGGCTGCCCTGGATGGCTCTGGTGATTCGGGGTCCCCAGACTCTTCTGCCCTCAGCCCTGACCAGAGAACTGACCCTCGCTGTCAACTGCACGGTTGAGCTCCGGGATCCACTCCTTTGTAAAGTGCCAACCTTCAGGGCACCTCACATTCTCCCGGGCCTCCACGGGGTGACCATTCTGAAGGGACATCGGGTGAGGGAAGGGCACATGAGCTAGAAGGAGCTCGCCTGCGCTCACTCCTCACACAGACTACCACGGTGCCYGCCCGCCCCTGGACGAGTGGCGCTCACCACATCTGCTGCCACTTGAGCTGCCACTTGATGTGCGTTAGTGACTTACCTCACACGACCACAGGCTGCTCTCTCCGTGCTGAGACCAGCATGTGAGTTAGGCCTGCACTGTGCCCTGCAGTGGCCAGCAGCCACCTGGGGCTACTTCAGCTCAGATCCCTGTCCAGTCCCTCAGTCCCACACCTCCAGGGCTTGGAGTCCCACCATAGCACACTCCCCTCATGGCAGAACCGGCGCTCTGGACCAGTGCCCGGTCCCAACAGCCTCAGGTCCTCCCTGGCAGGGAAGCACCGCTCCTCAGAGGCCTCGAGATGAACTGTTCCCTGCCTGTGTTGCTTCTGAGTCTCTGGCCCGCCATCTTGGGGTACAACAGCCCGGCCAGCGCCAGGAGAAGGGGCTGAAGGGCTCACTCGGGGTCCCACAGGGTGTAGGGAGCAGGGGACAGACATGGCTCTTTCAGCTGGGACATCCCAGCTGCCATCGGCCCCCACACCCCAAGGTGGCATCCCCTCTCACCACGTCGGTGTTGGGGATGGTGGCAGGCACCCAGGCGCCTCTGGCGTCACGCTCCTCGTTCTCGTACACCTCCTCCAGCACCTGGCTCTTGTTGATGTCTATGTCCAGGAGGAGTCTGGGGACGGCAAGACCCAGGTTCTCACGGCTCTCTGAACTGACAGGTCCTGGTGTCATTCTCTTTGGGCCAAGGGCTGCCCTTGGTGCCTCCCCAACCACTCAGCAAGGAAGGGCTGAGTGGCAGGTAAAGGTCACCTGCCCATAGGGACCAGCTCACAGCGCTGTGCTCACCTCTCTGGGCTGCCACTGACAGGAAGGGTCTGCGCCCTGGCTGGGCCTGCACCTCTTCCTTACCTCTTCTGAGGTTCCACTATCCAGTCGTCCTGCCAATGCCATCCTGGGGGCTCCCTGAAATCCGTCTTGGGTAGGGCCTTGCGCCCCATGACATCGGAGAAGTTGGGGCAGCGCTTCAGCCCCTGTTGCCCCCACTGGTCTTTGTACTTGGCCTCATTCTCGTACTGGGGGAGCGGAAACCCAGTCAGGACCTTCTTGCCAACGCCAGCACTCAGTCCTGGGGGTGTCAAGCCCCCCCCTCGGGCCCCCACACCCTAGAAATGTGGTGGCCAGGCAAGAAGGAAGCCTCATCCCCATCACACGGAGTGCTCGGGAGCCAGCACTCCGGGTTGCACCAACCCGTGGAGTAGGGTGATGCCTGTGTTTCAGTGGGCGCCTTGGATGGGACCTGCCCACCCCCTGGTCACTGCAAACCTAGGGTGACCCAGCACACTCCCCGCTGTGCTCCCTCCGGGCCCTTTCCTCCACGTTCCCTGCACTTCCCYCGAATCTCCTCCCCATCCCGGCCTCTCCAAACCCCACCCAGATCTGGCTAGACAGATACACTGTTGTCCCTCAACATCCTCAGGAAATTGGTCCCAAGGCCTCCTCCCACCTCAAACACCAAGATCCATGGGTTTTCCAGACCCTTAAATTAAATGGCTTGGTATTTGCCTATTACCTATGCACAACCTCCGGGATACTGTAGACCCTCTCCGGGTGAGTTACACTGCCTTTTTTGGGGATTAATGTACACGTTCATAACAGATGCAGCCATCATAAGCCTAAGTATGTTTTACACACACAGTTGGTGGAATCTGCGGATGCAGGACCCTCAGATACCGAGGGCCAATTATATTACGATGCAATTAACTACACCTGCAACTCAAAACCATTCGAATGTTTTTACTCAGTAAATTGAAAGGCTGACATTCAAATCTTACTTTTCCTCTGCTGTCAGACCAGGCTCCTGAGCTATGTGCTACCCTGGGGATCAAAGGTCACCTCTCAGCCTCTGATGCCAGAGCAGCCTCTGGCTGGCTGCTTGCCCCTCCCCCACTGCTCAGACTGATGGTTCTGTGGGCAGAGGCCTCATGTCCTCCTCCTCCTCCTCCTCTTTGGCTCAGGCCTTCCCCACTGAGAACCACCAATCTAGGACCAGCTGAGCCAGAGGAGGCCCCATCAAGTGGGAGCCTTGTTTCCCCCACAGGTCACGGCCAGTGGAAGGAAGCTCCCAGTCAGCCTCCCCCAGGGAGGGCATGAGCAGGTCCCAGAGGGCTGCTCAGTGGCCCCTTATCACCAGGGATTGTCCACGGTGACCCCGAGCGGGCAGTGTTATGAGCTTGCTGGTCTCTGCCTCCTCTCTCAGTCCCCTCTCYATCCTCAGAGTCGGTCAGTAGGGTTTTTCTCCATGTCCAGGGCTGGCCCTCCACAGCCCCACACTCCTTCCCTGTCCTGTGCCCTGTCAGGAGCCCAGCGTTCCCCTCGGCTCACCCCAGCTCACCCCAGGCCTGGTCCCTGCACCCCACCCGCCATCGTTCCTGCCCAGCCTGGCCGCTGCTCACCGTCTCTGCGTACACCACCATGTCTCCGTCATGCAGCAGCTGCAGATTCTTGCTGTCTGWGACGTTGCCGAGCCACATGCACACCCGGAGGTGGCCTGGGACCGTGTTCTTGGGTCCTTCGCCCTCTGGGTACTGAACCAGAGGCAGGTCAATCCCACCAGGTGCCAGCCCACAGCCCAGGGATGTGGTGGGGACACACACACTCAGCACGGGTCACACCTGTCCCTTCCCTCTGCCCCCCAGCACCAGGGTCCCGGGTTCCATCTCCAGTGAGGACAAAAGGGAAACAGATGTGGCCGTGTTCTGCCCTCTGGGCTGGGAGACCACATGCCGATGGCCACACCTGTGACCTCACGCCTAGCATGGAGCACGGCCGGGGAGACGGGAGATGCTGCCTAGGGACCCAGGAAGCTTCCACTGAAGCCATAGTCATGAGGATGCTGGTGACACTATCTGTTATTTGGGGCACGCTTGCCACTGTGCTAAGTGCCGAGGCAGGCAAGGTCCCGCCGGGCCCACCCTACAGAGAGGCAGACCGAGGTGTGGACAGTCAGGAGTGGGCCCAGGTCACCCAAGCCGGTGAGCCGCAGAGCCAGATTCAAGTCTGGGGGTTCTTGCAGGATGAGGAGGACTTCCTGGGGAGGGGCCTTGCGGGACAACCAGAGGGCAAAGGGCAGGCATGTCTGGGGCCAGAGAAAGCCCAGGGGGGSCCTCTGTTGAGAGGGCTGATATGGCCAGAGGTGGCTGGGGCAGGCCAGGGGGKTTGTCCCCTCCCGGGGAGGAATAGAGAGCCAGGTATCTCTGAGACACCACCGGCCTCCCACAGGGGAGGAGAAGGCTGTCACCAGGGCCGGGAGGGGCTCAGGGGGTCACAGTCTCGTTTACACTTTCCCTCTCATCCGAGGGGCTGATGCCTAAGGCTATTTTGGAGGTCACTCAATCATGGTCCAGGGAGATGACAAGGAACTAGACCATGGTGGCCATGAGAGTGAGAGGACATTTATGGGAACATGGAYGGGGCGCTGGCCCATGTCTGGGCACAGTACCTCCCCGCCTCCCAGGTGAAGGGCCAGGGAGAGAGGGAGTGGGCCATGCCCTCGGGGATCCCCTGACCCCTGTCCTCCCTCGAGGACCTGCTGCCCACCTGTAGCACCAGGGTCTGGATCTTCCCGCAGAAACTGCCTGAGTGCAGGGGCCCCGCCTGGGAGAACAGGACTCGGTGGGCGGGCACGCGAGCGTAGGCCACGCGCTGGTCCTTGGCCATCAGCCAGATCATCACGTCTGGGAGGCTCACCTGGGGCTGCCAGGGCAGGGGACGTCAGGCCCCCGCGGCCAGTGCCCAGTCCTGCCCCAGGAAGGTCCGTATGTCCGAACCCACCTCGGTGAGCACCACGTCCAGGCTTTGCAGCCAGTCCTCCACGGTGGCCACCATGTCCCTGGGCTCGGCTTTCTGGGCCTTTTGTGCCAGTTCCTGGAGGAGCAGGCTGCGGAGCTCCCATTTCTGCTTGTCCAGGTTGGTGGCTTTGGGATGGTCCTTCACGTCGGGCAGGGGGGTCCTGKGGCAGGACAGGGAAGCAGGGGGCTGGACCTCTCTCCCACCTCCTGAAGCTACTGTCTCTGGTCCTGCTGTGGGCCAGCGAGCCCCTCCCATCCTGAGGTCTGGTGTCCACTGCTGGCCTGGAGGGAGCCCCCCTGCTCCCTGCAGCCTGGCCCACCCCCCAGTTCCTTCAACATGACAGGCCTCTGCCCAGGGCCTCTTTTGGGGAGCGAAGTGGGCTGCGAGACAGGGGCCAACCAGACCCTGGGACAGCAGCTGGGAGAGGCTCTCCCACGAGCCTCCAGAAGAGGCAGGGCCAGGGAGGGAGCAGCTGGGGAAAGACGTGGCGGTGGGACGTGTGGGTTTGTCTGGACCCAGGGAAGACACTGGTTRGGTAGGAGCATCAGGCTCAGGTGTGGGACAGCGGGGACCATGCAGGGCAGGAGGCTAGGGCCATTCTCTGGAGGAGCATGGGGTGGGGGAGATCGGGATTCAAGCCCGGAAGCAATCAGAGTGGCGCCCACACACCTGCAGAGGACCCGGCCCCCGGCCCTACTTGCAGTCCTCCATCAGCTCCTGCCGCAGCTTTTCCCACTGAGACAGCACATCTGGGTCCCTCGGGTTCCGGATGGACTTGAGGGTGTCCAGGTTGGCTTTCTGCCCAGCAGGAGGGAAAGGGGAGGCCGGCCTCAGCGTGGAGCCTACCTGGGACAGGCTACAGGGCAGGCGAGCCTCTGAAGTGTAACCTGGTGATGTCCGTCCAAGGCTATCCCATGCCCTCTCAAGGCCAGGAGATCCTCCTCTACCCAACAGAAGTGGGTGGCGGGGAGGACCCACCTGAACTGGAGTCGTGGACCCTGAGCCTCATCTGTAGGTGCGAGAGAATCATGTCCAAGGTGGAGGCAGCAGGTGTGGGCATCCTGAGATCTATACTCCTTGACAGGTGCATAAGATCCTCTATGATCTGACCCTTCCCAGCTCCTCTGACTTCCATGTCACTTCCATGCCCCATCTCTCTGCAACTTTAAAACCTGCCATATCACCTCACAAACTCCTACACAGTCCTCAAAACCCTCTGAGTTGTCACCTCCTTTGTGAATACCTCTTCTGACTTGTCCATCTTCACATCTCTTTGATCTTAAATCTTTGGCACCTGGGTCTCCATGGCAGCCCTGGTGCACATCCCACTTCCCCAGACAGTGGGGACAAGGGCTGTTAATTCATGTTTGTCTCTCTGATGCCAGGCAATACACCTGGCACCTCCATCTCCACGGTGGGAGGGCCCGAGTGAGCGTGTGACGGGCTCCTGGGCGTCCTAGGACCAYGGCGCAGGTTCCCTGTCTCCTGTCTCGGATCCCTCCCTGCCTGGGCTCCCGGCATCACTCACCAGGTGGTCCCGGGTGACCTGGAGGACGTTCAGGCAGTTTATGCGGAAGCTGACGTCCTCCCAGTTGGAGGTCACCGCCACCACGGGCTTGGTGTTATACCAGGGCACATAATAGTAGATGTTCCCTGAAACAGAGACAGTGGGGGAGAGGTGTCTGAGGGGCCCGGGGAAGTCCCTGTCACCGTCCCCTCTGAGGACCGCCCTGGGCCACCACTGCTCGCAGTGCCAAGTGGACCCCTCTGGGGAGCCGTGCACCGTGAGGGAGATGGCCCCCACCAAGCCTTCATCACGCTGTGGGACACATGTCCCTGGCTCACAGTGGGGAAACCCAGGTGAGCCACCGGAAGCAGTTTGTCCACGGCGGCACAGCTGAGCTGTCCAAACACAGGCTTCTGGCTCCAGAGGCTTGTGAACCTCAGGAGGTGCCAAGGCAAGGGGCACGCCTCAAAGTAGGGGGTTCCTGCTGGGTGGTCTGTCTGGCAGAGCAGGCCCAGGGGATTGGCCAGCGCAGAGGATTGTGGGGAATAGTGGTCTGGATGAAAACTTTGGTATGTAGGGCCAGCCGTGTTCCCTGCATGGTCCCTGTGGGGACATAGAGGGGAAGAGAAGAAATGCAAAGAATTCCTTTTGTGAAAGGCACCATAGCCTTGGTCTTGAGGAAGAATCCACAGAAGCCAACAGATTGGGTTTCTTTTTGTTGTTGTTGTTGTGACACTAGGGATCGAACCCAGGGGTGCTCTACCACTGAGCTACATATCCTCAGTCCTTTTAATTTTTTAATTTTGAGACATGGTCTGGCTAAATTGCTCAGGCTGGCCTCAAACTTGAGATCCTCCTGCCTCAGCCTCCCAAGTTGCCAGGATTGCAGGTGTGTGCCACTATACCCAGAAGCAAAGATTTTTAAAAAGCCTGTGAGGCCAATAGCTAAACTATGGAACCAAACAAGGTGCCCTTCAACAAATGAATGAATAAAGAAAATATGGTACATATACACAATGGAATACCACTCAGCCTTGAAGAATGAAATTATGGCATCTGCCCATATATGGATGGAACTGGAGACTATCATGCTAAGTGAAATAAGCCAGTCCCCCCCMAAAAAAGAAAACCCAAACCAAAGGCCAATGTCCTTTCTAATATGTGGATGCTAACTCCCAATAAGGTAGGGAAAGGGGAAGAATAGAAATTCATTCGCTTAGACAAAGGGGAATGAAGGGAAGGGAATGGGACTGGGAACAGGAAAGACAGGAGAATGAAGGGGACTTTCCTATGATGGACACACGACTAGTGAATCTCCACACATGGACAGCCACAGCATGCGAAGTCACACTCCGTGTGTGAATGATATGTCAACATACACTCTACCATCATGTATAGCTAAAAAGAACAAATTAAAAAATCCATAAATATTAAAAAATAAAAGAAAAAAGCCTGTGAGGCAAGCAGAAGTCAAAGCTGACTTTTTCCCTGTGAATTTCTGGCGAGTCTTGGGGGCTGTGTGTGTGTGTGTGTGTGTGTGTGTGTGGCACCTAAGCAGTACTGGGGCAGGAGACCCCATGCATTCTGCATTATGGGTCGGCCGTGTCCATGTCCAGAGGCCTGTTGAAGTCCTGAGCCCAGCACCTCAGAGTGTGGCCTGAAGATGCAGATGAGGTCGTGCTGGAGGAGGTGGCCTTCATCCTACACGACTGGCRTTCTTCTAAGGAGGGAGACAGGCTCCCTTACAGACAGAGGACAGTCATGGGAAGACATGTTGGCACAGAGGACACCACGTGGCCACGTAGGCAGTGAATGGAGAGATGTGTCGATCGGATAAGGAGCACCAGGATCACTGGCCAGCACCAGAAGTGAGGAGAGAGGACAGGCATGTGACAGAGTCCCCTCAGAGCCTCTGGAGGTGTCAGACCTGGCCCTGATTTCACCCTCACATCCTCCAGGCCTGTGAGAGAATATATTTTTATAGGTTTTTTTTTTGGGGGGGGTATAAGGGATTGAATGCAGGGGTGCTTAATCACTGCCCCATCCCCAGCCCTGGTGTTTTGAGACAGGGTCTCAATAAATTGCTTAAGGCCTCACTATCTCTGTTGTGGAGGCTGGCCTCCATCCCGCAGTCTTCCTGTTTCAGCCTCCTGAGCTGCGGGGATTACAGGTGTGCGCCATCGCGCCCAGGTCATTTCTAYGGTTTTAAGCCATCCAGGTGGTGGCACTTTGTAAGCAGGCCTAGTGAACAAAGCAAACCTCATGAGTGGCAGAGAGCACACAGAAGGGGACAGTGAGACTGTTCCTTGTCTCCCTTGGGGCCCTGGGTGGAGGAGAACATGGCCCCAAGGTCATTAGCACAGCTGGGTGCTCTGAGATCCTGCTACCTGACAGGGTGGATGAATGGCAGGTAAAGAAATCACTGTAGCCCCTAGTTTACAGTGGCCCAGGTAACTAGAGGAAGCAAGGGAGAATCTTCTCCAGAGAAGGACACTGTAGACAGACCTCAAAGATTTCCCATAAAATTCCAGGAAAACGAGCAGTTTGGCACCCCAACACATGCTCCACAACCCAGCAACGCCACTCCTAGGTGACACCCAGCAGAAAGGCCTTACACCGTCACCAAGGGGCCTGTAGAAAAAGTGGCAGCTCAATTCATTACAGCCAAAAGTCGGAGACAGCTAGCTACCTCTCAATAATAGGAGGGATAAACAAATTATGGCAGACAGTTATCCTTCAGTATCGTCAGGGAATTGTTTCCAGGACCCTTGCAGGGACCAAAACCCAGGGGTGTGCACGTCCTTCTATAAGTAACAGAGCATGTGCATTCATACCTCTCCTGTGTACTCGAAATCATCTCCTGATTGTTTATGATTACCTCACAGGGTGGAAAGCTATGGAAACAGGGTTATCCTGTGTAGTTTAGGGAATTAAGACAAGAAAAAAAATCTGCAAAAAGAAAAAAAATCTTCAGGTGTTCAGACAGATGTAGTTCTCTTTTGTGAGTATTTCCGATCCCTGGTTAGTTGAATCCACAGATGAGGGTGGATTCACAGGACCAACTGGATTCACAGGATCATGGGATGGACCATCAAGGAGAGAAAGGGAGCTACAAGCACACCCAGTGTCACCTCGATCTGTGAACACATTGCACCAAAAATCTGATAAGCAGCCGGTCATGGTGGCTGAGGCTGAGGCAGAGGATCCCAAGTTGGAGGCCAGCCTCAGCAACTTAGGGAGACTCCAATTCCAAATAAAAAATAAAAAGGGCTGTCAATGTAGCTCAGTGGTAAAGCACCCTTGGAGGAAAAAGGTGTTAAAGAATAAAATCAAAATGTCTAAGATGGTGTGTGGAACTGTGGTAAATGCCGTGGAGAAGAATAAAGTGTATGYTGGGGGAGCTGCTGGGCTGTGTTAAACAGAACAGTTACCTAAGACCTTTCTGATAAAACCTATCCAGAATGCAGCCCAGAGAGCCCAAAAGATGGACAATGTGGAAGAGACATTGAAAAACATGGAGGACAAGCCAGGAGCTGTGGTGCATGCCTATAAGTCCAGCAATTTGTGAGGCTGAGGCAGGAGGATCTTGAGTTCAAAGCCAGCCTCAGC